AGTTTAAAAACGCACTTCAAAGATTGCAGTGTTGAAGATGTAGATTCTCAGGAGGCAACAGTACTGTTGACTTCTCCCTCCACTGGACACCAACTAACTATTTAAGTTGATTTGCATACAAAGCAGAGCTTGCAACATGATAGCTATTCATAAAGGGTGTTTTTTTTTTTACTTTTCATATAATACAGTAGTCACACAATGAGGCAGTTCATATTTGTCTCAGTAAATCATTAATTTTTGACAGACACCTGTACAAAATACTTGGACTAAAGCCAGCTAAAATTTTCTGTTATCTTGCATGTTTTATGAATCTATTCACATCTAAATGCAGCACTTTTTTTTTCAATGAGACATTTGTTTTTATACTAAAATATCTGAATTACTTTGAAAAAAGCTGGAAATTATGTCCCTTAAAATAATTAAACAAATAAGGCACCAATGTTTTGTAAGATATTTACATCTTTTAAGGACATTCGGTAGACTGATTCCCCACTGTTGATTCAACCCCAAAACTTGTTTGTATTCAAAATTATGAAAATGCATATTTATATTGAACAAACTATGATAAAGGGAATTATATTATATAACAAAGGACAAGGTCACCAGAGTTCAACTATGTTCATTCGTATTTGGCACATACATCATACATATCAGATCAAAGATGGCCGAATAATGGCTGTTTTTATTTTGGCCATATTACTACAACACGAAACACGTGTTTTGATGTAAATAAACAATCTGTTGTATACGACACTTGGAACTCAAGTTTCAAGTTGAAAATTACATAAAAATTCCCAACATTACCAACTTAATTTGAATCTGCCATGTCATCTGATGGTGATTTAGTGTTATCAACTTGGCAACAGACAACACAGTTTTTATAGTGCTAAAAAGAGTAGTATTCAATGCCATGTACAGCAATGTGGTAATTTCTGAAAACAATTTCAAAGGGAAGGAAAATCAATATGTTCACCCCATATTGTAATATTGCAAAAAAATCCATACTTGTCAGCCCCAATTTGAACATTGGTCCTTCCCTAATACTGACTTTACAGTTTAGTGCAGTCACTGCATGTCTTCCAATCTTCTCAGGGCTAATATATTTAGTGTTCTACATTTCGGAATGCACCTCCTTTTGCAGCAAACATTCAGTAAAAAAAAAAAATGATCGGTCACTGGTAGCATAGTGGTTATTGCATCAGACTCATGATCGGTAGACCCAAGTTCAAATCCTACCATAGGCTGAACGTCAAAAAGGTCGACCCCCACCCTGGGTGAGTGTGCCCCAGACTCAATGGGAAGGCCAATTCCACTGGCCGACATTCATTCACTAACGAATGCGACTTTGGGGGAACCTTGGTTAAGGTCCGCAGGTGCTTGTGTTCGACCGGGCCTGGTTGACGCCAGGATAGCGCATTACAAATTGCTATTTGACAGAGAGATGGCCACACAGCCCTGTCATGTAGTCCCAAACATGAATATGACTTTTGTGGCAAAATGCACTATGTGTCGTCACTAGCACTTACAATTTGCACATACAAAAAAAAGTCAGGAGAGACAACAGTGACACTCAATGTCCGGAACTGTCACCTGGCACAAAAAAAAAAAACATTCAGTAAAAATTCATATTTGATAAAAAATATTTTGAGCACTGTATCTCTTTATGTTGTACAGAGAGAAGATGACGAGGAGATGGTATTGATGGATTTACCAGACGACTGCTTGCGACAAATTCTATTAAGATTCAGCGATCATAGAGATGTGGTGAATCTTGGTGCTACAAATGATTCACTGAACCAACTTTGCAAAGAAGAAGAAGTCTGGAGAGAACTATGCAACTTTCACTTTTCTGAAAAACAGGTATGTAGAAGTTTTACTAACTTACTGTAATCTTTTATACTTACAGGCGCGGAGAAGGAACTCCAAAAGTTGTATGGCTTACTTAAGGTTAAGTTAGAGAGTATCGGTATATGGCAATATTTGTTGTGCCATGATGAGAGCTTCTTCACTTAAGATTCTAACAAAAAGAATTAATAGAATTAAACTTGTTCTTCTTGTCTAGATCTGGTCTGCACTTCCTGACTATGTTGACGAAGCCGACTGGCACTTGATTTATCTTAGGTTATTGAAAAAACACGGCAAACGGGAAACATATGCCGAAATGCCACTGCTGTGTAACCGATGCCATAGTCTTTACTGGAAGGTAAATGCGTTTTATCTGTATATCTTTTTGCGCTATTACAAACATATGTTCGATGAAGGAATGGTTTATATTCACATCATCATAAAACACTGTCCTCTTTAAGACACCTAGTCATTACAGCGAACCAATCAATCTACTTTTTTTATACTCATTGTGCCAATGTTCATTCTAATACAAGCACTTGATTGGTCGTTCTATTTCAGATGTTTACATATCAATATTAGAAATGTAGGCCTCGTCAGTGTATTTTGTCAATCTTTTTGGTGGGCGAGAATGTACTGTATGCAAATTGACTGGTTCACTTTTCTCTTCTAAGGTCGGAGGTCATCCGTGTACATCATCAGAAACTGATGAAGAGGAGGAACACCTGAAAGGAAGTAAAGAAATCTCACCACAGGAATTCATGAAATTAATTTTCTGAAAAACACCTGTACCTTATTCAGACATACATTTACTAATATGGACACGACCTCTCCAGTCTAACCATCAAATATGGAGACAATTTCACCTAATATGTATAGAGCCATTGAACAAAGTGATAACACCCTTATTTGGGCATGACTAATACGTATTTAGTAACAAATCTGCCTAATCCAATATAAATCAACTATGGATGTACAGCCAATAAGTTCAAAGACAATATGTGCAGGTTGCTGCCATAGAGGGCCTACTTCACCATGAATGTGCAACGTCAAACTGACTCTCAAAGTGTTGCACTAACGTTACTAGAGTCAGTGAAGGCACAGGAAATGTCAGATTTATTTATTTGCATTGTGTAGTTATTTGTAAATAGTTATAAATTTTGTAAATAATTATAAATTATATATCTTTTGTTATTATATATCTATTAATCTGAATGTAGCTCATGATCAATAACACACCAATTCTTCGTACCTGAATATTTCTTACACCCCCACCCATTTGTGTTATCTGTTATAACAAAACAGAGCTGTTCACATTACCATGTCTGTCATCAATATAAAAACCACCAACAGAGTGTGTTAGAATGATATACTGAGGCATTTTGGGTGGACCTCCATCAGATTTGTTTATTTCATAAAGATATCTTAAATTCTCTGTTTGCCCAGTCCACCATTAGTTCATGCTATAGAATTATGAGCATCTCAAATAACAGCTCACCAGTTTGATTAACGTTCTTGGTTTGCAGAAAATGCAGGGCAGGTGGCCAAATACATAGAAAATATTGATGAGACATAGCACGAATTACATTTTTTGTTGTTGCTTCCTGTTCAGCACAAAAAATGTCTTCAGTCACTCATTTTTCCAATGAAGTGAAAACATTGCAAATTGATACTTTCATTTTTACCGAGTTGTGTGGGCATTATTCATTTTAACAGCGAGTTTGCTAAAAGCTATGTGTAATAAAGAATTGAAATCATACGAGGTTGTAAAGTGTAAGAGATAATTTATTATGTACATGTATCTACAAATCTTGAAGCTCTGTTACCATGGCAATAGTTTTTGACCAGTAAACATTTGATCATGATGGAATATTTATCAATTACAATATTTATGTAATAGACCTTGAACGTAAATGGCCATCAACGTATCATTGACAGTGAGAAAGCCCTTGAATGTTTCATTCTTGTTATCTCATCCATTGAACCACATACCATGGTAACAGTTGACGTACGACGAGAAAGAATGAAACATTATAGAGGGGAGGGGCAAAAACAAGTTGAGATCTTGACAGCCATTTGCATTTTCTGGGAATTCTTGCGCAGTTCTTGAGTATAATCATAAATTATATATTTATTTATCCACAGATTACATTCAGCGTACATTACCCAAAACAACCTTGTAAACGTAATAAAACTTGTGCTTGGAGAAATTGTTTATGATAAAATACTTACTCTTCTTGTGTTAATTTCAACCCTATGAAGGCCAAATTCAAATTTTATAGCTTTACACAAAATAACTGTGCAATAACTGTTTTTCTGAAAATTTTGATCAAAACTTGTAAAACACTTTATTTTCATAGGAATTAATTTTCATGTATAAGAATTATAAAGACAGAAGGATCTATTTTCACGCAAAACAATATCACCATATTCTTTGTTCTCATGATGTGATTTCATTGTTTTTATGCATAAAAAATGTTTCATGGACTGTTTAACGTAATTTGGCCTAACCTAGTAGCACATAGCAAACCAATCGGCAGCTTAGCTGGCAATGTTTGGATGTTCAATATGGCAGTGACAATAAATAAGATTCATGAATATTTGATTTGATGATTGTGGCATTTGATTTCAAACAGAATAACTTACCGCAAAAATAACATCTATCCGTTACACGAAAATAAAGTATTTCATAGAATTTGGTCTAAAATTAAATTCATAACATGTACAATTTTGTATCAAAATGT